AGCCTAGGAAACCCTATGGCACTAGTTCTGCTTTGCTCTATAGAGTTGCTGTGAGTTAGAAGAAACTCAACAGCAGCTAGTTTTTGTTATTAATTCTTAATGAAGCATTAGTCATTTGGAGTCTCTGTATTTTTAGGAGCTCTGGTGGTGTATTGCCTAAGGCACTTGACTGCTAACCAGAAGGCTGGTGTTTCAAACTCACCAGCCACTCCCCGGAAGGAAGGTTGAGCAATTGACTTCCATAGTGATACCGCCTCGGAAACTCAAGGAGGGGTTGCTATGAGTCGGGTCCGACTCAATGGCAAATAACAACAACAACAAGAACAACATATTTTCCAGGATCCCTTGTGGCCCAGTGGTTAAGCGCTTGACTGCTAACTAAAAGGTTGGTGGTTTGAACCCACCTAGGGTAGCTTAGTGCCTAAGGCACTTGACTGCTAACCAGAAGGCTGGCGGTTCAAACCCACCAGCCACTCCTCGGAAGGAAGATGGGGCAATCTACTTCCATAGTGATACTGCCTTGGAAACCCAAGGAGGGGTTGCTATGAGTCGGGCCTACTCGATGGCACATGACAACAACAAACAACAGGGGCTTTGCGGAAGAAAGATGTGGCAATCTGCTTCCGTGAAGACTGCAGCCTAGGAAACCCAAAGGGCAGCTGTTCTCTACCAGATGGGGTCGCTCTGGGTGGGAATTGCCTCAGCGGCACCCACCAACAGCCACGTATCTGTCCTGTGATCAGTATTTACTGTGATGTTTCTCATACCACGCAATGAGTGTTTTCTTGGACACAGCAAAATACTCCTCTCTTAACTATTGAACAAATGTCACTGGCACACGTGAGAACTAGCCTGTAAAGGACCAAGGTGTGTCTTTAATCCGCGCTCAGCTGCCCTTTGAGAGCCAGGGTGACCCTTTGCAGAAAGGGACAGGCGTCAGAGGTGGGATAGAGAACTGCCTTGACCTGGGTGATCTCCTGGTCGGCTCGTTTCTTCAGGTAGAAGAGTTTTGGAAGTCAGGACTCAGTGCATCTTGGTATACATTTGGGCTCACTCTGCCTGGACTTTCTGACATCTGGGATCTGAAGGCCTTGGCCCTCGTTTGTGCTGAGAGGGGAGGACGGGCCTTCTTCGTGCTTTGAGCCAGGCAGTAGGATGCTGGCATCAGCTTCATCCGGCTGGAGCCGGTTGGACTTTGGCTGCATCTTTGGTGTTCGGGTGTTCCCACTCCTCAGTCTGCTTAAGCCTTTGCGAGCGAGGCGGGAAAAAGGCGCTAGCCAGGGCACTGTGCGGGATGGATGGCCGAGGGCAGAGCACTGTGGGGCTAACAGGATTTGCCTAGGGAGGTTCCACCAGCCCAAAACTGAGTTCCTCCTCTCTGAGTTATTGGTGGAGACAGTGGTGGTCTTTCCCACCCTCTGCTCTCTAGGCTAGATGTCTTTCCAAAACCTTCATTGTCATAATTAAGTTGTATTACACAGTCCGTTACTTCCCCATTAGAATGTAAGGATTTTATTAATCTTAATACCATGTTCCTTTTGACTGATGAAAACAGTGTGTTACAGAAAAACTGGAAAGTACAGAAAAGTATAAAGACTATGAAAGTACCTGTGTCTTCCAGAGAATACCAGTATTTTAGTATTTGAGGGGTGTGTGTATATCTTTTTTTTTTTTAAAACAACACTGGAATTCATTTTATGCATTCATTTGTTTCCTAGCTGTTTTCATTCATGTTCAACAATAGCAACAGCACAAACCCGTTGCCATCAAGTCGATACCTCCTCAGAATGGCTCTACAGGACAGAGTAGAACTGCTTGTCCCTGTATCTAATGCTCTTTGCAAACCTTTTTAGTGGCTGCATAGTATTCAGTTTCACAGAAATGCAGTACATTTCAAATCAGCCCCTGCTGTTAGTGATTTAGCTTGTTTCCTGCCTTCCTATTTGATTGACAGCCTTCTGAACGAATGATTGTGGGCACCTCTACTTCCTTGGAGTACATGTAATGAGCTAGTGCAGGTAAGACACTTAGAAGAAGACTAATACACATGAGCCCTCAACAGGAAATGTCCTGGAGCTAGAATCACCAGTAAGGACGCAGCCACCCTTCTGCCAGATTGTCTTCCAGAACAGCCCAGCCCTCACCAGCCAGGCCCATCTCCTGGTTCCCTGCATCCCAACAACTTCAGCTGTTACCATTGGGTGCCTATGAGTTGATTGTGATGCACAGCGATCCCGCAGGGAGTAAAACTGCCCCGTAGGGTTTCCTAGGCTATAATCTTCATGGGGATGGGTTGCCACATCCTTTGTCCCACCAAGTAGCTAGTGGATTTGAACTACTGACTTTTCAGTTAGCAGTTGAGTGTTTAATCATTGAGCCACCAGCTCTTTAAGGTATTATTGACACCCTAAAAACAAAGACGAACAAAACAAAGCGCTGTTTGGAAGTCGGTGCAGCCAGAGTGTTCTGAGAAGCAGGGATGGCGAGACGTTGTCTCACACACTTTGGGTGTGTTTTCAGGAGGGACCGGTCTGGAGAAGGACATGGTGCTTGGAAGAAGGGCAGAAAAAGAGAGGAAAACCTCCACCGACACGGACTGACACAGTGACTGCAACGACGGACGGAAATACAGCAGGGACTGTGAGGAGGGCGCGGACCGGCGGTGTTTTATTCTGTTGTACGTCAGGTTGCTATGAGTCGGAGCCGACTCAACGGCACCTAACAGCAGCCACAGCAAACAAACAAACAAACAAATCTGCAGGGTGGTCCCACCGAGAGTCATAGCCAGGAATGTTTGTGGCAGCATGATTGCGTTACCCCAGAGGAGAGCGAGCGAATGCTGTCAGCAGTACGTGGGTTGCTTGGTGGTGAATTCATAAAATGGGATACTGCTCAGCAAGAGACAAGTGCGCCAACAACAGGGTGAATCTTACAGACACGAAGTGGGGCTGAAGAAGCCAGACACAGAGGAGCGTGTGTTGTTTGATCCCATTTGTATGAAGTTCAGGTGCAGGCAGAACAGTGGTAGAAGTCAGAAGGTGGAGGTGTTGACTAAGAGGAGGAGCAAGGAGCCTTCCGAGGGCAGAGCCTTACGCTGAGTGGAGGTAACACGGTGTACATGGACGGAACAATTTAACAAGCTGTGCGTACACTGAGGATTTTAAAGAACTTTTTATTTTAATGTTTGAAGTGACAAAAATTAGAAATGTGCCATTCGCTGGTTGGCATACAATATTATAACTTTAGTTTGTTTCTTGCTCTTGATTTTGATGGGCTTGCCCCTTGAGTTTTATCATTCTGCAGTGGTTTTTGACATGTTAAAACTTCCCCGCTCATTGTAGTGTGTGACGAATTTAAGAACTCGTGGCGGACTGTGTTGGTTTCTGTGGAGAGGACCACATAGCTTTCTCTGGTGAGCGGCTGCCACACAGGGTGTGCCAGTCACTCACTCCACACGGGCAGGAGAGTGCACGGCATGCCTGGCACCGTTCTTGGTGCTAGGAGTGCGGCAATGAGCAGTGCCAAGTCCCCGCTCCCTTGTGAGTTAGGCCTTGGTGGAGCCGACTGACAAGCCACCGCACGGCACAGGACAGTGCTGAGAGCGGAAGAGAAGTGGGCGGGGGCCAGCGAGGGATGGGGCTGATGCGACTTTTATAAGGGTGATTAGGGGAGGCCTTGAGAAAGAAATACTTGGGAGCACGTGTGCAGGGGAGCCTGACGGGTGTCCAGGCCAAAGGAAACACCAGGATCCAGTGCCAAGCTTGCCGCCTTGGGGAACAGCAGCGCCTGGCAGCGAGGTGAGGTCAGGCCACTGTGGGGCTTCAGTTTGGATTGTACTCTGACCGACGGTGTGTTCTGGACGGAGGAATGAGTGATCTGACTTAGCCTCGGAAGACCACCCTGGCTGCTGAACGCACCACACAGACTGGATCAGGGACACCAATGACAAGGTGGCTGTGACAGCCCTGGCGAGAGAGGCTGCTGCATTTCTGAGTTGGTCTGCTCGTGTACAGAAAACAAGCAAACAAACAACAACAACAACAACAAAAACAAACTCTCGATGTCACCAGGGCAGTTTGGACTCATAGCAGCCCCCATTGGGTTTCTGAGGTGGTAAATCTTTACGGAAGTAGATTGCCTCATCTTCCTTCCGCAGAGTGTTAGCAGGCAAATGCCTTAGGCACTGCGCTACCAGAGCTCCTTAAAGGTTGTCTTGTCAGGAGTGGGGGTTGAACCCATGCCTCCAGGGGAGACTGCGATCTGAACACCGCACCTTAGATTGCTGGTGGCGCTATCAGCATGGACAGGTTCCAAGGACCAGCTGTTACACAACATGGACATTATGTGAGGGGAACTATCCCCTGGGGCCCGGCAGCTGGACTAGGGCCACAATTGGCAGCTCTGGGACTTGGACAGCCAGCAGGGCCAGGGGTCATGATGGTTGGTGGGGGCTACTGCTTGTGCCCATGTCCCCACAGTTACCCCCTCTGCAGCCCCAGCCGCCTGCTATCTCCCACAGGCTGGGAGGACCCCATGGAAATGGGTGACCCTCCGCTGGGCTCAGAGGCTGGAGTCCAAGGCCGAGCCCTTGGAGACTAGCAGCTGTTTGGAAGAGGAGCTCAGTAACCCGGCCGCTGAGGAGGACGGTGGCCGGCTGCTCCTGCAGCCCTGAGGCCCCAAATCACCCCAGTGCCCTGCCCACCGGAGGACCTGCGCCCTCCAGCTGCTTGAGTGAGGGGCAGCGGCGCCTCCCTCGCTCGCCTCTGGGCCTCTCCAGCCACACATCTTTTTCACATAGAGTTGGAGCTGGCCCCTGTGTTGTGGTTGGGACCAGCAAGAGACCTTCTGGAGAGCTGGCTGCTTCAGCCACTAGCCGGACAGACACAGGTGGCTCTGTGGGCAGAGAGCTGGAGGCAAGGAGGACACTCAGGTTAATGTGCAAAACCGTCAGAGAGTGCCTTTTTCACCATTGTTATAAATGTGAGATGTCAGATAACGAGATGGACGATAAGTGAGGAATTTTACAGGTGGGGAATCTGAGCATTAGTGTTCAATGACTTTCCCAGGGTCACAAAGCTAGGTGTCGGTCCGGCAGGCTGACTCCAAGCCCCTTCTCGGCTGCAGCACCGTCCAGAAGAGCAGGAAAGTGGAGTTGTCTGTCACCTGTGGAAGCAGCCGTCAGGATGGCAGACGTCATACTGCACTGGGCAGATTTGCTGCCAAAGACCTCTTTGAAGTGTTAAAAAGCCAAGATAACCACTTTGAGGACTAGAGTGCACCCTGCCCAAGCGTAGTATTTTCATATGCGTGTGAAAGCTGCACAGCGAATAAAGAAGACCGAAGAAGAATCGCTGCCTTTGAATTGTGGTATTAGCAAAGAATATTGAAGATACCACGGACCGCCAGGAGAGTGAACAAATCTGTCTTGGAAGAAGTGCAGCTAGAATGTTTCTTAGAAGTGAGGATGGTGAGACTTCGTCTCATGTACCTTGGACACGTTACAAGGAGCGGCCAGTCCCTGGAGAAGGACGTCATGTCTGATAAAGTAGGGGGTCAGCCAAAAAGAGGAAGACCCTCAGTGAGATGGACTGGCACGGTGGCTGCACGAAGGGGCTCAAACTTAACGACGGCGCTGAGGCTGGCGCTGGACCGGGCCCTGTTGAGTTCAGGGTCGCGGCGGATGGGGTCCAGCTCTGCAGCACCTGGCAGCAGTGTGGAGGGCACGTGGCTGACAGACGGGATGGGCTTCCAGAGAGAGGCCTGTCCACATCTCCCTCTTCTGTTGCTCTTACTGCTTCTCATTAGTAAGTACGTGAAAACCGTCACTGCATTAGGAACAGAGGATGAGTTTTTTTTTAGAAGTTTTATAATTTAACTCTTTTCATCCTCATTATAATGAATTTCCTATCGGACTTTATTTTGCTTTTTATATTAATTTACGATTGTAGTTATTTTTAAATCTCATTTATAAACATTTCCTTTTAATGCTGAAGCCTTGTAGTGTTAGAACATACACTTGCTAGGGAACGCGGATCTTCCCATAAGAGAACAAAAAGCCCATTCATTAAGCTCATTTTCTTTCTTTGATATGTCAGTTGAATCATAGGAAAATATATGAGTATTTTCTTTGCTTATTTCACTTAGGAGCTTGGTACACATTTACTCAGTTTTGATACTTAACAAAACTCGGTGTGACGTGGACTCTTAGGCTGCTTGGAGGCATGAGACATGCTTCGCCCACAAAGCTTTGCTTTTCTCTCATCAGTGTGGTGCCGATTTCTGCTTGGGATACACTCATATCCTGTGTGGCTAGGTATGAAATTGGGCGTTTCTGTCATCCGACGGGATGAATGCCTGTATTTTGAAGATCTGAAGTGGTAGTGCAAGAATACAAGTCTAACGGGCCTTCAGGCAGGTTCTTATCAGTCGAGCTTTGGTTGGTTGGAGGGACTGCAGCTCCCAGATCGTTTGGAGAGTTTGAACAGCTGGCCAGAGCAGATCTTGCAGCTGCTGCTGAGTTCTGATTATTTGGAGAAGTTATATTTTATTACTATATGATTGTTACTTACTTTTCCATTGGTAACATTAGTAACAAAAGTGAGTCTCTTCCTTTTCCCAGCAGTAACATGGTAACCGTTTGCAAAAGTTTTGTGTTTCCATCCAGGAGAAAGGGGTACCTGCACCTCCTGGTTCTGACCTTGCTCTTTGTCATTTATTGAAACGTCTGGAGACGGAGGAGAGCGTTTGCAGTCAGCGTGTGCAGACACCTGATTCTTGTTGACGGCTGCAGACAGTCCCATGCTGTGGATCTGCCATCATTTCACTGGTCCCCTGTGCTGACGGTGAACGGACTCTGCTGCTAACGAAGCAAGAAGAGCCTGGAGTGTGCTTCTGAAGGATCAGCCGTTGAGAGCTCCGTGGAGCTTGGGCCGCCAGGCGTCAGGATGCACTTGGTTTGCTCTTTCCTGGTTCTGTTACGGAATCTGTGGCTGTTCTTCCCTCTCTCTCTTTTCTTGCTGCCTGCCAATGCTGCACTGAACATCTGCCCCTGTGTGCTTATCTTTATCTGTGGCAGGCACTTGGGAATGTATCCTTAGGACAAGTTCCTGCCTTTGTGCTCCTGGAAATCGCGTTTCATCACAGTCACAGTTTAAATGGACTGATGCTGGTCAAACACAAGGAGTGCAAGGGGCGGTGTCCTGCAGTCTGTGTTTGGTGAATGTGGACACAGCAGCTATGCAAATTGACTTTAAAATGCTACTTTACCAGGGTGGGAGCCACATCCATCCGATGTTTCCAGGACGTCAACAGCCAGCATTGGAGAACACACACCAGCCTTTGTCCAATGTCTGCTTGATTCCTTTGCCATTTGGAAATGATTTTTGTTCCTGAACACAAAATGCAGGAATTTCCTTTTGGACTTCCATTTGCCACCTAGTAATCCTAACAGTTTGACCTCGTGTGCGGTCAGTTACGAATGTGTGAAGGTTGGGGCACCTAACTTCCAGTAGCTTCATGTGTTCTGTGTGCACAAAGCGTTAGATGTATGCTGTACGGCGTGGACACTTAGAATTAATAAAGAGACTAAAGTGGCCTTGGAGATCGGCTGGCTGTCATGGAGATATTCCCACTGCCCAGTAACCCCAGAGACTATTAAAGAAAATCATGAAGAAGCGTGAGAAACGAAACCGCTTGGAATGTGCCCTGACGGACCCAGTGAGTGACAAAGCATGGGTAACAAGGCAGCCTTGAACCCGATGCTTCCTGGCAGAACTTCCTGTGGCAACCACGTAGGGGCTTTCTCTTGCAAAGGGTCACCCTTGGGATTCAGGTTTTTTGCCTCCTGTAGTCTCTCCTGTCCCCTGCTGTCCCCTGTGCTATGTGCAGAAACGCGGTCAGGCCTTTCAGCTTCTTCATGAAGGAGTGTTGGAGCTTCTACAGATCAAAGGAAGCCAGTCTGTGCACTTCATCCAGCTCCTCACAGGTCTGAGTCATGCTCCTGTCTTCCGCTTTCAGAGCTTTTTTGGGCTCCCTTTCTAAGTGCACGATTCTTTGAGTCACTTTCCTTTTTTGCTAGCCTGTCCTTATTTTCTGTGCATCAAAGGACCCACGTTCCCTACAGACCCACATGGTTACTGGGAGAGCAGGGGGCCTTCTCTATGGTTCGGGGCCGTCTCCTCCCGTCTGCTTTTCAGACACAGCTCTCTTCTCACTGTTCCTTCCTGTGGGCACAGCCTGTGGTGCTTGTGTTAGGTGCTGTCGAGTTGGCCCCAGCTCACGGGGACCCCATGCACAACAGAGCCCAATGCTGACTGCTTCTGATTGGGCCGTTGTGATCCACAGGATTGGCTGATTCTCAGTAGATTGCCAGGCCTTTCCTCCTAGTCTGTTTCAGTCGGGAAGTTCTGCTGACACCTGTTCAGTGTGATAACAACACGCAGACCTCCGCTGATAGGTGGCCGGGGGCTGCGTGCGAGGGGCTCTGGCCGAGAATCCTCCCTGGGCCCCTGCGTGGAAGGCAGTCATTCCCCCACTGAGCTACCACTGCGCCCTCTGGCCTGTGGTCAAAGACCAAAAGCCCAACCCCCTGCCATCAAGTGGATCCCAACTCATCACGACCCGTAGGATGGAGTGGAACTGTCCCCCAGGGTTTCCAAGGCTGTCAGCCTTCATGGAAGCAGACTGCCACATTTTCCTCCCACAGGACGGCTGGTGGGTTCAAACCACTGACCTCTCGGTTAATAGCTGAGTGCTTTAACCACTGCACCATCAGGACTCCTCCAGCCTGTGATGAGAGTCCAGACGCTCTCATTGGAACTTGCTTTCTCAGTTTCTTGTTTTTTGAACCTCTTGGAATTGATTCTCCTCTGACAGCTCCAGAGCCCCCCTCTTTCCCCCAAGAGCCCCTTGTTGGGACTGTCCCTCCCTTTCTGAGTGTCACCTCATGGACCCCGGGGGGTCTGGACACTTACCTCCTGCCAGGCCTGAGGGCCTGGTTCTCTGTGGGAGCCTTGGCTCTGCCCTCAGGCTGCCCAGTGACCGAGTCACCCAGCTCCGGGTGCTCCGGGAGTCTCCTTTGTTTGGACGGAGGAGGCTGTGCCCTGAGCTCTTGAGACTCAGCCGTCAGGTGTGCCCTGAGCTTTTGAGACTCAGCCGTCAGGTGATGGAGCACGTGGTGACTCCTTCCTTTCAACCCATCAGTGAATTTTGAACTTCAGGTTCTTACCACCCACCATCACAATTCCCATTGCGTCTGTGTGCAACTTGTGATATTTATTTAATAGTTTCCTTGAAAACGACTTTAAATGGACTTTTGTTTTCAAGTTTTGACCTAAACACAAGTATCTGTGAATCATGTTTGTGAAGCTGGATGTCTGTTTTACACTGTAAGAAAAGGCATAGTTATTGAAATAAAGGAGGTTTGTCACCTACAGTGTGGGCCTGCGCGTTTGTCAGAGGGTGAAGGTGATTGACGGAAGGCTGTTGATGGCCACGGGGAGACCCAGGCCCTGGGACTGGAGGTAAAGGGCTGCAGAGCTGAGCCGGGTGGGACTGACCCTGCCAAGCACACTTGGTCCCGTGGGCAGGGCCAGCTCCTCTGGCCGTCAGGGTCCCATAGAGGTGTCGTGCTGCCTGGAGGACGTAGGCCCAGCCATGCTCACCGTGGGCATGGTGCTGGTCCTCTGATTGCTCTCTGTCTCACCGGTGACCTTACCTGTCCTGCAGGTGTGGCTGACTGCTGACAACCTAGCACATGCCTCAGGACTTAGGGCAGAATTGGGCGAATCAAAGGTGAGCTGCTCAGGTCTGTGGCTATTCCTCCAGGCCGGCGCCACTCTGCACTCTGTGGGTCTTGAGTTAGGTCGATAAACAGGACCCAGGAGGCTTGTGTATGCAACCAGAGCGCAGCATGTCTGCCCGTCAGAACAGGACTCACTCTTGATACAATGACGCTCTTCTCCTTCCAGCCTGTTGGACCAGCACTTGGTTTGGCAGGACCAGCGCCACACACCTTGCATCCCACTGTTTGTGTGGGTCACACTTGGCAGAGCTGGCCTCAGTGGGGAGAGCCCTGTTTCCAGCTTGAACTTTCTGGAGATGTGATTTCAGGTCAGGAAACGGCTTGGTCTCACAGACCCGTGGTCTTTTTTGGTGGTGGGACTTGATCTCGAGGTGCAGCAGAATTCAACTCCTCTCATCTCCTCAAGGGCATTGTTGCAGCCGTTGCCCCTGTCTGTGCCGTCCGCTTTTCTCTTTAGCGCACAGGTAATACGGGTCCTCCATTAAACAGACTCCTGACTGCACGTCCCTGCAGCTGCAGCCCGTTTCTCTTCTCCCTTTAATAATAAAATTCACTGAAAGAGTTGTCTGTATTGCTGTCATCTGTTCTTTTTTGCTGTTTTTAATTGAGGTCCTGTTTGCTCTGGGACCCAGTCCAGTCAGGTTTTCATCTCTGCCACTCTTTTGAACCAGCCTTTGTCAAAGCCCCCAGCGGGCTTCACGCGCTAAACCCATTGGTCAGTTCTCAGCTTACTGCACCCGCGAGCATCGTTTGACCCGGTTGATGGGTTCACTTGGTTTCTAGGCCTTCTCCAGGCTGGGTCTCCTTCTGCTGTCCTGGCCTCCTTCTCAGCCTCAGTGCAAGTCCCTGCTTTGCTCCTTTTCACTTTGGTCCTTTCACTGTGGTGTTGAACCCCAGGCTTCGTCTGATCACAGGGCCTCTCTCAACATGCACGGATCCCAAGTTTTTGTTCCCTAAACTCTGGTCTTGAGTATGTAATTGCTGGCTTCATTTATATTTATTATGGGAGCTCGGGTGGCATAGTACCTAAGGCATTTGACTGCTGACCAGAAGGCTGGTGGTTCAAACCCAGCAGCCACTCTTCGGAAGGAAGACTGGGCAATCTGCTTCTATAGAGATACCTCCTGGGAAACCCGAGGAGGGGTTGCTTTGAGTCGGAATCCACTCGAAGGCAGTGAGTTTGGTTTGTTTTTTTTCTGTGCAAAACAAATGCACTCATAGTACTTACCTGTATGTACATATTGTGGTTCAGTATGTATCCCAGACAGGATGATGGGATAAAGGATGAACGAAAAGTGGGAACACAGTGAGTAATGAGATGGGCAGATGTGTGATCAAAGACTGAGCAGGTCAAGTGTACACAGGATAGTTTGTCTACACTGGACTTTCACCTGCATCCTTTGCTCTGAAGGTTCCCCACCCACATCTCCTAGCTGTGTGTGCACCTGTGCGTGCATAAATCAGCTCCTTCCTGCTAGAAGCATCCGAGGCTTGGCCTAGAGGCATTCTCTGGCTTCAGGAGCTAAGCAGCTGGGATAACCCTCCTGGGATAGGCCTTCCACCCTTTAGGTGGGAGCCAGTGGTTCGCTGGCTTCCTTGTCCCGCGTGGGACCGCCGGCAGCCCGCT